GACGGTGCTGGCACGGGACAGACATCGTGCAGACGAGCGCCATAGCAGCGCAGCAGACGACACAATTCAGGCGGCGCATGTAGTATTGTACGCGCCTCAGTACGCAATGTGGGCTGTGTTTACACCTTTTCACAGGAGCGAAGAAACGCCGCCACAGAACACCTACCACGACGACGTGGGCTCCATCGAGGCGGGCGAGCACCCATCCACAGCTCTTGACCTGTAATTTTTGGGGGTTGGGGGGCACCAGGTACTAAACTATACAGGAGGCGTCCCAAGGAAGGCTCATGTGTCTAGAAAAATTGGTTAGCGATCTTGAGTACTTAGAACACTACTATGGGAGAGCATAGAGCCGTCCCGTGAGCCTCACAGGGAAGCGTGTTTAGAAAAAGTGGGTAACGTTTTTTGAGCACTAAGTACTCTACTATGGGAGAGCATAAAGCCGTCCCTGTTTAGAAAAAAGGGGGTAACGATTTAGAGTACTATTTGTACTCTACTATGGGAGAGCATAAAGCCGTCCCTACTGCAAGAAAAACAGCATGTGGACTGTGAACGCAAGCGTCGAGCAGTGAAACAAACAAATGTTTATCTGTTTTACATAAGCCTCCGTGGTTTATCCAGTTTATATTTAAGAGTTTACATGCCCAGCCACATTGACTAATTAGTAATTCGTGCTTTTGAAACAGTTTTGACAATTAAAGTACGCTTGCATTCTAACCTTTATTTAAGTGGCGAGAAGTAATAATATTGTTTAGAATGGTACTCTTTTTTACCTCTGTAACACGAGACAAGCCTTTCTTTTCTCACAGAATCTATCCGGGTAACTCAGACATGGGGAAGCTTTCGCCTCGCTTGCTCCGTAAAGCTTTTAAAGTTTTTCCTTCCTCCATGCGTAAAGGGGTCGTATATTCTATTTATTTTATTCGCGAGCATGTAACAAAAAAAAAACCATCACAAGTTAATTAAAAGAAATTTGATTTATAGCCCCATTCCAGGACTCGCTCGCTGGATTCCGTGCCGACCGGTTGTGCCCTCGCAATCTCCGACATCAGCGTAGCTCTGGCCGACTGGGCTCGCCCTACGTCCTCTCCTGACGCCGACCTCCGACGACAGTAGCTCTGACCGACTGGGCTTGCTCTACGCCATTTCCTGACGCCGCCAAGAGCTCTCGCAAGTGGTGCCCCGTCCTCGGACTCCTCCTGTGACCGTGTTTCCATCTTTCCTATCTCTCCTATCCCCTCGATATGTCGTCACTCTCTCGCATACCTCATCCTTTTCTCTCTCTACACTTTTATTTCTATCCTTTTAATCCCTCCTCACCCCATCTCTTGTGAGCTACTGCTGAGGTGTCGCACCCTGATGCAGACAATTGTGGGGCTCACTTTCCTCTTCTTTTCCCTCTCTTAGAATCACTTCAGTGCCTGCTTTGGCGCAAAGCACACAGTGACCGATCGGATGCAGCCCTTTCTGTTCAGACTCTCATCCTTCCTCAAGCCACCCTCCCCGAGAGAAGTCGTTAAATAGCGCCTCCAACAGGAGCATCTGGCAAACAACGAACTCCAGCTGTAGCCGAAAAAAAAAAAAAAAAGCTCTCCGCGAGACATCGCCTTCGCGACACGATGGTGGCTTCTCGAAATCGGTATTTCACCGGCTGCAACTTCTAAGCGGTATAAGACGCCCTCGCTGGCCTTCGGTGTCATGCCGGTGGCATAGCGAGCTCGCACGGCCAACTCCGGCCACCGACGAATCAAAGAATGTGTTTCACAGAAAATGAAGGTGGCTGGAAGGAATAACAGTTTGTATTCTCTGCTGCGCCTTGTGACCACAACTCTCAGAACATTAATACAAAGGTTAGCGCCGAACAGAAACGGTGTACGGCGTGCCCATGCATTGCGAGCAACTGGAACCGCGACTGCGAACCGTCTCGTTCGTTTAAGTCTATAGCTCCGTAGTCCAAACTGCGTGAATAGCGGACACCTATTTCTGTGCGTGTAAAAAATAATGGCGACGAAACTGCGCAGTAGCAAGTATTTTATGATCGCCGGCTGTCATTCGTCGTATAACCGTGCCATACTCGTGAGTGAGGCCTAGCGGTCGAACGTGGTAGTGGCGGTGTCGTGGTTTTACGCCGGTGCTGCGGAATGGACGCCGTTAAAGTGTTCATGCACGGCCGCGTGGGCTTTGCGTACGATTTAGTAGATTTTATGGATTCACACACAGTAATCCAACGGAAAATTTAGTTTATGCAACTGGGCACCAGCTAATACTGAAGTTTTTTTGCCCCACCGCGGTGGTCTAGTGGCTAAGGTACTCGTCTGTTGACCCGCAAGGCGCGGGTTCGAATCCCGGCTGCGGCGGCTGCATTTCCGGTGGAGGCGGAAATGTTGTAGGCCCGTGTGCTCAGATTTGGGTGCACGTTAAAGAACCCCAGGTGGTCTAAATTTCCGGAGCCCTCCACTACGGCGTCTCTCATAATCATATAGTGGTTTTGGGACGTTAAACCCCACATATCAATCAATTAATACTGAAGTTTCGCTATAATAAAAAAAAATCACAGCATATCCACGGGGTGAATGATGATGGGTGGGCGAAGCTCCTGAGGGGAAATCATCGGTAAAACCATGACTCTTCAGTGAAGGTTCGCCCACTACATCATCAAGAAAGACTTGAGAAACACTGTGTGTGTATATATACTCGCGCTGCAGCACGGCGATGGCATTGGCGCGAGCCTGGTCGTTCTTGATGGAAGATATTGTGACTAGACTGTTTGAGAACCACAATCTGTCGCACACACTGCAACTGTGTCCGAACGTAACGTCTAGAAAGTCTCGCTTAAACCGCGCGTCGGCACCTTGGGGCTGAGCTCGCCTGATGCGATTTGCAGACGCCTCACGAGCTCTCACTGCATCGGGGTCTGCCTGCCGATACGCGCGCTTTCTCGCCGCTTCCCGTTCTCTGACGTTTTGGAGATCCTCTTCGCGCCGCAGCCGTGCCGCTTTGGCCTCCCGCTCTCGTACGGGAGGATCTTGGAGGCAGCGTCGCGCAGCTTCACGGAGCGCTGCTGCCTCGCGGGCTCGCACATAAGATTCTGTCTGCGAGCACGCGCAGCCACCGCCTTGTGCGCTCGCCGCTCTGCGGCCTTATCCATCGGGCAACTCCGAGCGCGCGTCAACAGCGAACGGATTCTATTACAAACTAGAGGTGGCTACGTACATACGCCGAGAATGGACAGACCCACGCCTTAAGGGGCTCCGCCCCTAAAACGTATTCAGTATTAGGCAAGTTTATGATAAAGGGCCTGTGTGCTAAACAGTTTCGAGCATGCCACCACAAATTCAAGTCTGCACTGTGAATTTTTATTGCTTAATTATTCTAAAAAATACTTTTCCAAGACCTACATTGGAGGTCAAAATTAGGTAGTGTGGCTGTGCTTGGTCAGTGTGGTCAACGTATATCTTAAAACATTACAAACACTACAAGCTTACACTCCCAGTTCTCTTGTTCAAATTTTGGGGATCTTTACCTGGACGGCTTTACGCTCTCCACAGCAGAGTACCTAGTACTCTGAATCGTTAACTACTTTTTCTAAACACACTTCCTGTGGTGACTCACAGGTGTTCCTTCTCTATTCCTCTTAGGGATGGCTTTTAGCTCTCCCAGAGTAGAGTACAAAGTACTCTAAATCGTTAACAACTTTTTATAAACACACAGCTTGATTGCCTAGGCCCACGGGACAGCCTAGTGCTCTCTCAGAGTAGAGTACCAACTACTCTAAATCATTAACCACTTTTTCTAAACACACAGCTTGATTTCCTACACTGTAAACAAAGATAAGCCCATAAGGGCGTTTTAAGCATGTTATGTGCGCTTTTTCCACCCATTTCGAAATACGAACACCCTTGAAAGGGGATAAAATGGGCTGAAACCATTATTTTACCATGATCATCAAAAATGGGAAAGTATAGAAGTTAAACCAGTCTGAAATGGGAGTGACCGAAAAATAAAACGAAAAAAAAAAATTGGCGTGGGTCAGAAGGGTTTATCTAAATACGCCCATTTCGACAAGAACAAACAAGCGAGAAGGATCGTTCTAAGCCTCAGCGTCAACGTAGCAAAAGTTATTTCAGTAGGCAAGTTTGAAAAAGCCCGCACCGCGCCGATGCTCTTCAAAAAGTTCATAAACCGCGCCTTACGGCTCGGCGTATCAAGAACGACACGCACGCGCGGAGGAGAAAGTTGTCCGGACTATGCCATCTTGTGTATTTCGGAGCGCGGGAAAGTGCGTCGTTGTTCTGTGCCTCGTAGCCTCAGGTAGGTGTTCTGTGGTAGCCTCTACCTTCTGTTCGTCGAGGCAGGCAGCGGCGGCGAGATCCACCGAAAGGGCCCTCTACGCGCCGATCGCTCTCGGACCGATTTTTGCGGCGTCTGCCGCCGAATCGGCTCGCCGCGAACCAATAGGGGGCGCTAGCCGAGGAACTCAAAGCAGGAAATTGCCAATAAAAGGATCTATGATAATACTCGGGGTAGTTCTCTACTGTCTGAGGCCAGGACGGGAGTACTGCGAACCAAGACATATCGGGCCAAATACGAAGGGGTAGACACAGTATGCAGTGCGTGTGGAAAGAAAGAAAAAACTGCCGAACACTTGATAATGTTCTGTAAAGGGCTTCACCCTATAGTTCAGCATGATGGCGCAGAGTTTTTCAAAGCACTGGGGTTTAGGGACCGGGAGGGCAAAATAAACTTTAAGCGGGTAGACTTAACTAGAAGGAGGTTATCTGATTGGTGGCTAAAGTTAAGGCACGAGTGAAAATTAAACTCTTCACTGCAAAGTACGAATCCTCAAACTCACCTTTTAAGGAATAAATAAATAAATATAGTTTTTGATTCATTAGGTATTACGGCTTGGTGGCGCTAGCCACCGCCCGATCTAAAGGGTACAGCCATATTCATCCATCCATCCATCCATCCATCCATCCAAAGAAATGGCGGCCGAGAGGAACTCGCTTGTCATGTCGAAGTCGAGCAGCGTGCGCGTAGCTGAAATGCTGATCGAATTGGTGGGCAACCACCCCGTCCTGTACGATAAACGTCACCCAAAACACAAGGACAGCTTGCTGAAGGACGACTTATGGAGGAAAATCGGAAACGAGCTCGGAATGACTGGTAAGTACGAGTTTATGTGCCGATATTGCTTTGCTCCTTATCGAGAACACCTTGTGCTGTGGAAGTACTCATGCTTCTCGTCCGCATTGCAACGAACGTGGAAACGCACGCGTACTGGCCCTTTGATCGTGCTCTTCAGTGCGCTATTTGATGTCAACAACGGAAATGCTAGACAGACATCGTACTCATTGAACGATGGGCTCAGCGATGCAGGTACGCTGCAGGGGAGACAGCGCGGGCATTGTGCACGTCTGTTCACCATCCTGCTTGCCCTGCGTTGTATTCACGAATGCCGCATGAGTTGAATTTGATTTGACACCGAAAGGCAGCATGTTTGTGCTGGCTTGACGCATTGTAAAGGCGCATCATTCGAAGCACGTTTGTGCTGAATTGAACACGGTAGCAACCTAATTTAAGGTCTAGAAACGTTTCCCAATACGCTGCTTAGCTGCTTGAATAGGGCGAGTGTGGCTATACTTACCAAAAAGAAGTAATGAAAGCATAGGTGTTTTTCTAAAGCAGGTACACTCTGCAGCAGGTCCTCCCCTCCAGAAATAAAAATTTATTACTACGAGCAGGGTTAAAAAGAGCGCGCATTTTAACGAGCGAGTCATACAGCTATGCATACTTCGCATACTTGTGCATTACGTGCTGCTCTTTCGTCCCGTAAATATATGCAAGCAACTTACTGTTTTGTGAACCTAGCGACATTCACATTGTGTTGGTGTAAAATTTTCAAGGATGTAAAAAGCCTGCCTAATACGTAAACTGAATTCTTCACAGGAATGCAAGCACATGCCAAATTCATAAACCTGAAGGACACGTTTACAAAACACAAAAACAGGATTAAGGGCTCCATGAAAAGTGGTGCAGGGGCTGGAGATGTTCACAACGTCAAATCGGTGCATTTCGAGGCAATGATGTCCTTGATGGGTCCCATACTCAAAGAACCAATGTAAGCCAAATTTTGTGATCCTTTTTATCTTTCATAAATCAATCAATGCAATGAAAGTGTACACAACTTCAAAAAAAACAACAACAACAACACAAAGACATAATGCTCTCCTGTATGTAGAACTGCCGGCCACAATTGCGCATGCTAAAAAGAAAATCACAGTTTGTTTACTTGCACAACAAATCAAGAATTCATTAATGCCCCTACAACGAAATACGTCAGCTAAGAACAAATATTGCAGCCACAATGAGCTGATGGAATGGTAGATCACTACTGCATAAGATTCTAAGCTTCGTAGTTATGCTGTTTAGCAATTTTCAGAGTGGCACATCAATAAACACGTATACACACAACACAAAGCACAAAGTAAACGTTTTATAGTTACTGATGCACTAGCCTCACTGCTTGTTGATGTCAAATAAGCTTAACAAATAAATCAGCATACTTTTATTTACAAAATCATGAAGACTACAATGAGGAAGCAATTACACCAGATGACATTAACATATTTGGTTAGTAATTGTTTATAAAAAGAACATAGCGTACTGCATAGCTTGTTCATCGAAATTTTTTAAGGCATGATTGCTGTAGCATAACTAAAAAATGTTAATGTTTTCCAGCATTTCTACAAATGTAGGATTCATCAATCCCGATCGGTAAGTTGCAAGAAAGGTACCAAAATAACTTTGCCAGCAAGAAAATGCATGATAGTGCTAAGAACATGATGAAAACATTTGCTATCACCTAAAAAGCCATTTTCTGCATGCCTACCAAAAACGCTAACAATCAAATGAACGGATGAATGGATGTGGTGAAAGTGAACGTTGTGAGGTTCACTTTTTTTATGAGTCAAGCAAATAGGGCTTGCAGTGCAAAAGCATGTTACCTGATAAAGTTAACACCACTTGTGCATTCAGAAAATAAAGTTTAAGCAGTATCTTATCTCGTAATATTATCGTGCTTTTGCGACATTCACCAACAATAATTATTTCTCATTGATAAAATATTACTTTTTCCACATCACAAATGTTTCACGCGAGTTCATCTTTCCGACGTTTCGCATAGAGCATCAGGTGAGCGGAGTCCGGCGCCTGCAAGTAACACCAGCAGTGGCAACGCAGAGGAGGGCCAGGTCGACCACGACAGCTATGTCACAGTCATCTTGGATGAACCACTAGAACAGCCTGCATCTTCGTCCGGTGCAACACCTGCAAACACCGAGACAGACAGGTCACAGCAATTTTTTTAACATAAAATATCCGAAGTGAAACGTTGCACGTTTCATTTTACTCTTTAGCTTTTTTACTCTTTAGCTGTAATACAATATTCATGTACCCAACACCAATCTACTTCGTAGGTCAGACAGTGCAGAGGGCGAACAAAATACAAGGAAGCAGACTGAGCGGTAAGTTGTTCCAACAGAAGCATGACAGCTTTTTTTTTTTTTTATCCGGGATTCGCACTTGCTATATGTTATGATACTTCCCTTTCTTGGCGTTATGTCACTCAGTTTTCTTGTTTTTCACTGACAGGCCACGCAAGGTTCCAAGAATAGCGGCCAGTGGTGCAACGTAAGAACAAAAGCTCTGACAATGTAACGATCATGTGTCTAAAGTAGGCATTGCTTTTTTTGAGTTCATCAAAGACACTCTCCCATATCGACATTGCAAGTGAATGCCTTCACCAACTGCGTGCCGTCAAGGCAGCACAGGAATCAAAGGAACAGCACGACCTTCCCTATTTTTTCGGCATGTCATTGGTGCAACAGCTGCACTTGTTAAACTCCCACCAGCAGGTAGATGCTATAACAGCACTACAAGAAGTGATGCAAAAAAAGATCAGTGAAGCAAGGCTAGAACTCGAATTCGGCAATTAGCTGTCAATGTCAAAGGGGTTAAAGTGCATAAATCCCCCCCTCTCAAAACATAAAGGGACATATTTGCCATGTGCTGATGCACTTTTCTGAACTCCTTATGCAAAATCCAACGACAAGCAGGCAGATGACCATTCCCAATCGATATTAGCCTCTTTTTAGTTTTAATAGTCAGGCAGTGTTCTTTAAAATTGGACTTTAGCTTAATACTTGCTTTTTTACAACACTGATTTATTTTTCATGAAAGTACACAAAAACTTGGTAAAGCAAGTGAAAAGATTTGTATTTTAGGAAAAAGAAAATTTCACTTTTCGAGTGGCATCTCCCCTAGTTGAAAAACAAGGAAGGAAGGAAAATAAGAAGAACGGCAGGGAGGTTAACCGGCCTATAGGCAGCCGGTTTGTAACCCTGTGCATGAGAGGGGGATGGGGGAGATGAAAGATAAAGCAGAGAGGGAAGAGAGATAAACACAGCACATTTGCCAGCACACGCACGCACACTCAGTCATTGTCTAGTCTTGTCATACACTTTTCATGCATATAGTTGAAAAACAATATGCATGAAAAGTCTATGTAGCAAGTGTTTTGTCGCAGCTTTGTAAGTTGAGTTGAGTCTGTTGGGCAAGTTGCTTGATATGTATTGTGAATTGTAAAGAGCAGACCTCAGGACATACAGCAGAACACCTCTAGCTTTCATCTTTGGTTGAGGTCAGTATTTTCCTGTTTTGTGCTGCAACATAATGCACACTTTTTACAACATCATGGCAGTTGTGTCTACGTTTACAGAACCGTTTAAGTGTTTCATCATAGACATCTCAAGGCGGATCAGGTTGTTTCTCTGCATGACAGTCATGATAACAATAAATGGTGCACTCACCACTGTACAGTCTTGTGTCCATTATCTTGCTCTCTTGCCAAAGCACCTTGCCGTTGGTGATGAAGTGCTTTGCCAGGAGGTCCCGCGTTTCGTAAGCAAACCTGGGAGAAAAATTTCTAGACAGTGAAATACACTATACCACAGCACTGCAAATTACGCCGCTCATATAGATGAGCTTTCATTGTGGCTGATGCTAGTGCATGGCTTACAATTTAAGGCCTACCATGAACCTTGCCACATGAAAATATCTTTACCTTGTGGCGTGGCAGCCAGTCTTCGGTAGAGATGGCAGAGCAGCACTGCTGGTGTCATCAGCCCTCCAGTTGCTTTCGGTGATGTTACCCTGCCAGTCAACCTGATTGGCTGTCCCTGGAGAGCAGTAGGTGCACCGAGATGTCTCTGACTCTTTCATCATGAAATTGTGAAGGACCACGCATGCGGAGATAATTCGCCGGATGTTATCATCTTTGGCTTTGAAAGGACGCCGCATGATATGCCATCTTTGAGCCATTATGCCAAATGCATTTTCTATCACTCGACGGGCTCGGCTTAGGCAGTAATTGAAAATCCTTTTGCTGTGTGCCTCCGAAAAGGTGATAGGTTCGCAGTTTGTTTTTTCTCCTTGAGATGCCTCTTCAGGTGTTGAAGCGAGGAACAGTTGAAGACCTGCATAAATGGTTATCCCCGCACCTACATGAAAAACACGTCATCCTGATAGAGCTTCACAGTAACTCAGCACAGAACACATAGGCACACGATCAATGAACACATTGTGCCATGTTTTTGTTTTGTGTTCATAAAAGTTGATCAAAAACATACTTCCACAGAGAAAAGAAACGTACTTTCAAGGAGAAGTGCCAATATGTGGTGAAGTGCTTTAGTGCCTCTAACATAAACCAATCACTGCGTTTAATTATGGCATCATGTTTCGGCTGCTTGTCATTACAGTGAATCTGTGTACTGAACAGCCTCAGATTATTAGCATAGAGCAATGCACTCCAGTACTAAAAGAAATCAAAGGGGCAACTTGCCTTTCAGAGGATACGTCCGCATCAAGTATGTCTTCAAAGGAAACGCTTTGACACTACGTAATAAACAATGACCCTTTGACACTACGTAATAAAAAGCTATAGTAAACATTGCGTGTACCAAGAGAGAGAGAGAGAGAGAATAAACATTTATTAATAACAAATGCACACTGAGCCTTCTTTGGGTGGGGCCCTCAGTCCAGGGCTCCATTGCCTTGCGCGACCCTGCGAGCCCGCTGGACCAGCTGCTGCTGTTCCTGCCGGCGTAAGCTGAGCAGTGCAGACTCCCAAGAGGAAGGGGTGGGATTGGGAATGGGAGGCACGCCCTGTGGGGCAGAGCATTCCCACGTGGAGTGGTACACCGTCGGTACGGATCCACAGAAGGGGCAGTAGGAGGGGTAGAGAGTCGGATGAAAGCGATTTAGCATATAAAGGCAAGGAAATGAATTGGTCTGTAGTTGCCGCCAAGCGACAGCATCTGCTCTGTTAAGTGAAGGATGAGGGGGAGGATACGTATAACGGCTCTGTCGATAGTGCTGCAGCGTAGCGTTGTAGTTTAGTGTTTCTGTCGATGCGTCGTCTGGATTGGACAGCTCTTCCAATGGAGCCCGGCCGGTCAGCTCTCGGGCAACCGCATGAACGCGTTCATTACCATGGAGAGAGGCGTGTCCAGGAGTTCAGACGATACGCACAGGACGTAATGCGGACGGTGAGACAGAAGAGAGGATATTGTGTGTATGTGCAGCCACAAGTCCTTGAGCAAAAGCACGGCAAGCAGCTTGTGAATCTGTTACAATAGTGACAGGGGAGTCATGTGACAGTGTCGTAGCGTAAACAATTGCCAGAGCGAGAGCTCCCTCCTCTGCCAGACCACTGTCTGTAGTGCGAAGTGTGGCAGACGCCACAAGGGCGTCTCTGTCATCTGTCACGGCTAAACACATGGCTGACTTCTCTGGGTAGCGTGCTGCATCAGTGTAAAGTACTTGTAAGTCTGATGTACCATCACCAAAGACGCGTGTCATAGCCTGAACTCTGGCACATCGACGACCGGCGTGGCGGGAGGGATTCATATTGCGTGGAATCGGAGGCACTTTGATGAGTGCGCGGACAGTAGAAGCAAGTTTATATCGCGGTACTTGTGCGGGTTTTTGAGGAATCGGGTAGCCAAGACGAGACAGGATGGCGCAGCCCTTACGGGTCTGCCTGGGCCGTTGGAGCTGACTGTTGTGCTGGGCCTCGATGAGTTCGGTTATGGTGTTGTGGACTCCTAATTGAAGGAGGCGTTGTGTAGATGCGTGTGGAGGCAAGCCAATAGCCGCCTTCACAGCTGTCCGTAGAAGGATGTCCATCTTTTTCATTTGAGCTAGAGTGAGATTGCGAAAGGGAAGATGATAGGTGAGCCGACTAACTATGAGTGCTTGTACTAAGCAGAGGACATCCTTCTCACAGAGGCCTCTCCTGGGATTGGTGATGCGTTGGATCATGTGTGTAATTTGAGTTATCTGCTGAGCCAGAAGGTGTGTAGTGTACGAGGCCTTGCCGTTGGACTGAAGATAGAGGCCTAAAATGCGAATTTGTGGTACCAGAGGGATAGGATGGCCATCAAGAAACAGCGAAATGTCAGGAGAATCAGCGGCTTTGCGGCGCCGCTTGTATGCTAATAACAACTCCGACTTATCCACTGAGCACGTAAGGGTGCTGGCAGCAGCATAGTCTTGTACCACAGACACAGCTTCCTGTAGGGCATCCTGAATGGTTCCGTCTGATCCTTTGGTCGCCCAAATTGCAATGTCATCTGCATAGATGGCATGCTGGATGTTGGGAACCTGTTGTAATAGGGAAGGGAGTTTAGCCATAGCCACGTTGAACAAAGTGGGCAAGAGAACCGAGCCCTGTGGTGTTCCTCTGCCTGCGAGACGAATGACGTCCGAACGGAGGTCTCCAATCCCAATAGTGGCCGTGCGGTCAGAAAGAAAGGACCTGACGTAATTGTAGATACGTGAGCCACACTGAGATGAAGCGAGATTGTCAAGAATAAGGTCGTGGGAGACGTTGTCAAAAGCACCCATCAGATCCAGGGCCAGAATAGCTCGGACCTGGTTTGAAGTGGGGCTATCCAACACGTCCTCCTTAAGCTGTAATAATACGTCCTGTGTAGAGATACCAGGACGGTAGCCGAATAGTGTATCAGGAAAAAAGTGATTGTCTTCGAGAAATGGTTGTAGTCGAGAGAGAACAACGCGTTCAAAGAGTTTAGCTACACATGAAGTTAAGGATATAGGGCGAAGATTCTGGAGGGATAGCGGCTTGCCAGGCTTTGGAATAAGTATGATTTCTGGGTGTCGCCACTCCTGTGGTAGCGTGCCGTTTTTCCAATGTTTGTTGTAAAAAGCGGTTAAATATTCGATGGACTGGTCATCTAAATTACGCAGAAGTGTGTACGTAATCCCGTCTGTACCGGGTGCTGTGTTGCGCTTAATGCTTTGCAAAGCTGCCCTAACCTCTGCTTCTGTAATGTCCTCATCTAGAGGCGTATCGTGTACGTGTGGATAATCACGGTAGGCGGGACGGGGGCCCGTGGATACATAGTGTTGCTTTAAGGTGTGCAGCAGAGTGTTATCGTTGAGCCCTGATTTGTGGAGAATGGTGCGGATTGCGTTAGCAGTGTGTGATTTTGTCTGGGTGGGATTTAAAAGAGCACGGAGTATACGCCACGTTCGAGGTGTACTTAGTGAGCCGTTGAGTCGATCACAGAAGTTATGCCAATTGTTGCTAGTGAGGATGTTCGCATAGTCCTGTGCCTCAGTAGCTAGTTTGGCGATTCGGAGACGAAGTTTTCGGTTATGTTTCTGTCGCCGCCACCGCCGTGTCAAGCCTCTGTGGGCATCCCAGAGATGTAGCAGATGCCGGTCCACATCCGGCGTTTCTGTCGTCGCAGCGATGAGTTTGGTAGCTCTTTGAAAATCGGAGTGAAGTTGTAATATCCAAGCCTCTAGGGAAGGAGAGTCCTGATGGGTAGTTGTACGATTACGCCTAAATGCATCCCAATTCGTTAGTTTTATGATGCACTCTGGGGCACGCGTGGGTGCTACTTGGAGCTCTGTAGTTAGTATATGGTGATCACTGCCTAGATTCACCATGAGGTTGCACCAGGAATGGTGACTAACGCCCTTGACTATCGTGAGGTCGGGGCATGTGTCCCTGCTCACACTATTACCTAGGCGAGTGGGTTGATCAGGTTCTGTCAGCAGGGTCATGCGATGAATCGCGAGAACCTGTGCGAGTCGTCGGCCTTTAGGCGTTTCTGTTGCGTAGCCCCAAGCCGGATGGGGGGCATTGAAATCTCCTACAATAACTATTTGTTTACCCAACTTGCAGATTTGTGCGAATAGATTACCGAAGTCATCGTTCCTGGCGTTAGGTGCACTGTAAACGTTAAGCACGTACAGACTGCTACTGGAACGAGTGCACGGGACTAATTCGAGAAGTACGTGTGAGATGGAGGTGCTTTGAAGGGTGTGTTCTATGACAGTGACATGCTTAGAAACTAATGTAGCTGTGCGATGTGGTGTATTGTTTGTTACGTCCGTGTATGTGGTGTAACCCGGAAGCGTAGGGGTATATTGTACTTCTTGTAACGCTATGACATCGGGAGTAATCTGCTGCGTCGCAATGAATTGCATTAGAGCTCCGCGTTTCCTACGATACCCCCTGCAATTCCACTGCCACACACGTAGGAGTTGAGGGGTGTGACGCGTTGACCTACGGTTTCTCGCCATGATCATGCAATAGCGGGGCCTCGGTAGTACACGGAGGCATTTCGGACTGTGCTAAATCTTGGTGGAGGGTGGTGGGAAGCGGGACTGCAGCAGCTGCGGCTGTTGGGACGGTTTTTCGGGACGGTGTTAGGAAATGGGAGGGGCGTATGTAAGGATGCGGTCGCTGTGTTTCACGTGTCGGAGATGTGGTGCGTTTTGGTGCAGATGGCGCAATATTAAGTTGGCCAAGTGCAGACGATATCTGCTGTTTAACATCCGTTACAATCTGCTGGACAGCAGGTTGCAGGGCCTGCTGGATCAATTGTTGGAGTGGAGCTGTTAGTTCAGCCATAATGCTATCCTTCATTTTCTGCATTTCTACCTGCATCATAGCTGCGAATTTGTTCCTTAAAGAAGTAGCCATTTCGTTCAACGCCTCTTGTGTGCAATAGTCGGATCGTGCCGTAGTTGACGACATGTCACGGTGAAGCTGAGTGTCTACTGACATGGGTTGTGGTGTTCTTTCCTGTGTTGATGTTTGTGTGAGGGAGTGGGACTGGTGTGGAGAGGGAGGGAGAGGAGGGAACTGCCCTGCCCAGCTTACCGTTTGTGCTTTCTTGTGGGAACCGCTTTGCTCGCCATGATGATGCGTTGTCCCGTCCGTGTGTCAGCCTTGAGATCCCGGCTGGCCAGCGAAACCACTCCGCGATGACGAGTTTCCTCGCTTGGGCCCCGACTTATCCCTGGAATGGCTCCTTCGCCTGGCTGCACTCCCGGACGCACTGCTCTGCCGTCTGGGGCTGGGAGATGGTGACTGGGCCTTCTTGGTGGGAGTAGCTGACCGGGGTGGTTTGCGTTGGTCGACAGGTGGCAAAAACCGCTTTGGGCATGGTTTGGCAGCCGTCGGGTGGTCGCCACCACAATGCATGCAAAAAGGGTGGCACTCGTGGTTGTTGGGTGATAGTGAATCCCCGCACACTCGACATTTCGGTGTGTCAGGAGGCTGTGGGCACACATCCTCGCGGTGTCCAGTTTTGTTGCACTTTCTACAGTGGGGAATAGTCCGTTTATAGAGGTAGCAGCGGAGAGCCTGTCCATACGCGTTCACAAAGAAAGGGACTCGCTTGCCACAAAATGTGAGCACCATTGCTCCGGAGTTGCTGA